CCTCTAACCTTCCTGGACAGTCTTTTTCTTCTTGTCTTCATTCATCTCTTCCTTTCAGCCTTTTGTCTCTGACTCTTGTCTTCCTCTGGCCTTTCAGGTTCAGTGACCAGCAACCATTAAAGACAATTGTTTTCAGTCCGAGAGACTTTAGGTCCTGTGCAGGGAAATCCAGCTCCTTTCCGTTTGTTAATGAAAAAAAATAGAGACCGTGTTTCCTTAACAGAGTTTTATCATTTCATTGTGGTTCAAATCCAATAATTAAAGGATAAGTCTGGCATTATCCTTCATTGTTCCTATTGTCAACAAATCCCATTAAATAACTACAATGAATCAATCCACATAACTGGTTGAGTGTAGCCAAAGCATGATGGCGCTCCATTGTTGTCTAAACCCTGCTAAAACACATCAGAGACCAACACTGTTGCACTGCACGACATGATCATTCAATACAATGAACAATTACAAAGGTAGTTTATTTTGAGACTACCCCACACTGTCCTGCTGCTGGAAATACACACCTCAGCACCTAATCCTCATTTGAAAGTACTCCCCATAATGCTCTATTTACTCTTTTTTGAGTAAGGTTTGCCACAAACTACAGTGTCTGGAGAAAAAACTGAGCCTTTAAAGAATGAGGATACAATTTATTTAAAAAAATAAATAATTGAACCTCTTCCTCTCCATTCAAATGCAGCATCCTTTGCCAACTTCACTGTCTTCATAGGCTATTCAGGAAGGAATGTACTTTTTTTTTGAAGGGAAAAACTGTCAAGTTTATCACCTTAATATATCTGAATGAAGATGGTTTCTATTTGTATCTACGAGGCTCCCAATTACAGATGTTCTCAACTTCCAGTTCTCTTAATATCACCCCAAATCTTTCATTACAAAATTCATAAAAGTCCAATGTTGTGCTAATTGATTTCTGGATGATTGAACCGGAGAATAGGTACGACATCATACTTTTATCAATAGGAATATAAAGGACTAAGCACGTGGCTGAGATCAATGCAGCTCTATAGGTTTTTGTAGGTAGAATAACCTAAAAAGAATTAAATTGGCATATGTATTTGTCGTATATAATGTTAGCCATCTAGCAAGAGCTACCACAGACACCATTTGTAATGATGACGGCAGTACAAATATTCCATTCGACGTCTACCGATTGTTTGAAGCAAAACATTAGAGAATCTTGCAAAAAACATGAATCAATGTCAAGCAGACAAATGAGGTATTTTGTCAGAAGATAATACAGATCATTTCCAACACCATTTCTCTCAGGGAAGCAGCCACAAGGCGGACAGATCTAAAGAGGTTTGGTGACATTAAGGGGCTGAAGCTCCACTTAACCACCAGTCCTCCTCTGAGCCCTGAGTGTCACGCCATCAGTCGTCTTTCACTTCCTGTCTCTGCAAAAACAACAGCAGTCACTCAGGTGAGGCGGCAGCAGCAAATCTCCCAGCAGTCACTTTTGAAAAGTGGCTGTTTGGATTCTGCCTGTGAAATTATTCCTATCTACAAAAAGGACATACGATTCATTTATGTTATATAACACCATTAACGGCTTGTTAAGAATATCAAACAAGCTGCCAAGATAAATCATGACATGTTTTTCACTCGTAGTTCCTTCGGCTGCCGTTTCATCATGCTGCTGTCGTCCTCATGGTACAGAAAGGGTCAAAAGACTAAGAGGGTAAGGAAAGCAATCTGTCCTTCTACTTCATTCACTGCGCACAAAACACACACATTATGCATCCTACCGTCTGTGGCTCTTGGCAAGTGAGCATGAAAGGGAAACTTACATTGATTAGTCCGGATGTCTGCATTACAGAGAGCAGAACGTTGATATGAGGTGTTTTATTAAGGAGATAAAAGAGCGCAGCAGCAGCAGGACAGGACACACAGAGGCAGCGCGGGCAGGATGCACTCCGCTAAACAAAGACCCCCTGCGCATTGATAAATGTGTCACAGTGCTATTATCACTTCCGCTCACTCTGATGGACAACACAACATTTTCCCTTTCTGCAATCTTGGAATGCCAAACAAAGGCGCTGACCACTGTTTATGGCAATTCCTTGTCGCTATTGACACACCATTTCAGAACATCATATCTCAGTTTGGAGTCGTATTAACAGAAATGCCCAAATAGCACATTTCTGGAAAAACCTCCAAAACAACACATGATGGTGATGGTTTAAAAGAAATAAAGCGGTCGCGTTTCCAATTTGTTGTTGTCCTTCCAACGCCCCAACGTCCTCAAGCAGCTGTTTTTTCTGGACACTTGTAGGATTTGGCAGAATCCAGCTTTCTGTTTGCAGATTGAAACCACTGATGCTGAAGTTTTCCTTCTTTGGAAGGGCCGCCGTTGCATCCATTTTTTTTTTTACATCCAGCCTGTATTCCAACTTCTCGGATTTCACAATACTTGTGGATAAGTAGATTACGTTTTGGAAAAAAATCATAAAACATTATAATTCAGGTCTGTAATGAGAAGTGAACTCTAGCATCATCCTCTCACGTTTCTGTTCAAGTAAACAAGTGCAAATACTCGCTATAAGTCATATCATTTTTGCTGTAGAGCTGCAATTGAGGTCTTTGTTAGGTCTGGCAACTTCAAATGCAAGTGTGTGTGTCATGTTTTAATGTATCCGTGTAAAAGATGCTCTTAGTGTATAAAAGTGTCTTAGCGCTTGGACAGTAAACTGAACGTTTAAATGTGCTGATTTCTTCTTTTACTCTGATTAATAAATATAATGAGATCAGGTTGAGTATTGTCATATTTCCACTCACATCTCCAGTACAGCATGTACCTTCACCTTCATCTTCAAATCTTTGTAAAGCTTTAGGTGTGGCAACTTTAGAATACCACAACACAATGTTGTGATCAATCCTAATAGGCTTTGTATATTACCCCCTGGTTAGGGGAACAAACCGTGTGGTTGCTGCTGGTGATGACCTGTGTGTCTTAAAAGAGGATGTCAGGATCCAGGGAAACCATAACATCTCCAAGATGTATACGCCAAGTTAGGAGCCCAGAAGAGAATGTTTGAGGAAAGTAGCAAGAAGGAGAAAATGAAAAGAAAGATTGGTTCTTAGTAGTTCAGACTTTGAGTAAACAAAGCTGACACACACATGCAATTTGTGCTATTTGTAGACACTGTGATACCAGTTCAATCATTTGCATGTAAGATGAGTTGAGCTGCTGCACGTACCAGCTAGACCAGTGGTCGCCAACCAGTCGATCGCGATCGACCGTGTGGTGCGGGTAGATCGCGGACCGTTAAAAAAAAAGTAACAAAAGAAAGAAAAATAAAATAAAAATAATAATGTTTGAAAAATACGTTTTTAGATGTAAACCTATCATCCACCACCCCGTTAGCAGGTGCCACTTGATTGACGTATATTTGAGACACCTCAATAATATAATACATTAACCGTGCTTTACGTGAACCTCATCATGACACAAGAGACGACGGCAGGAATGTAATTTCCCATGTTCAGTGAACGCAACAGAGGCAACACACCAGACCAATCAGAGAGTTGCATGGAAATACACGTGTGCTTGTGTCATTCAAGCTCGGCTCTGTGTGTGTGTGGCGATAGCGCATTTAGTGTGGGAGAGAGGGAGTGAGGGAGAGAGAGGGACCGGTGCTAGCGGGGACCGTGATGTTAGCATCTGGTTAGCTAGCTGCACTAACGGACATAAGTAGCTGTTTCCACAACAAGCTGGAGGAGAGTCCTCTCCTGTCAGACTGAGGGGCTCAGGTGAGCTAAAGGACTCTNGAGAAAAAGAGCCACAGCGGAGAATAAACAAAAGGGCAACCATGCGCGGGAAGTCTTCTTCACTGCTTTTGTGGCAGACTACAGGGCCACTTACAGGCCTGGCATATGTACTGCAGCGTCTCCAGCTCTTTCGAGTGGCAATGGCCGGCCGTGGCCCAACCCCACATTCCCCTGATAGGTGGAGAGTTGCCCGTGTAGGCGGAGCAATTCGTCAGAACAATTCAAATCTGGATCAGTCTGTATCGGATCCGTTGCAGCCCCGTTTTTAGAGATTTGGGTATGGAGGAAAAGAGAGAGGGTTGTGTTTTCTGACACTTGGTGAGTTCCCTGGAACACCAGGGACACATATTCATGTATAAAAGACGTACAAAAGTGCATTTTGCATGATAGGTCCCCTTTAAGTAAAACGCAGATACTATGGATGTATAAAAGCTGCAATTCCTGCGATAGATGGCAACAAAGACAGAATAAATGGCCATAAATCATGAGATCACAATGCAATTGAGCCCTGGAAAATGACTGTACTTTATTATTTATTATGCTTTCTGTCACTTTCCAGTTGAAAGAATCAGAGCGATAGCATTTAGCACATTTTCAAATGCAACCATGTTCACTTCCCAGATATGCTGCTTTGGAGATATTGACACATCCAGGCTTGAATCATACGTGCAAATGCCTCGTTACAATAAAATGTGTATATTATGGTATTATTGTGTACCCTACCTGCTTTTGAGTCATCAAGCTGCAGAAGAAAGCAGGCAACATGAAAATCAAGATAACCTAACTTCCTTCAAAAATGTGTTTCTTCCTACAAAGAGTTTACAATCAACCACCAAAGCACCCGCAGAGAGAATCATTTGTGCACTAAACAAAAGGCAGATTATTAAGCGTTTGATGACAAGTACCTGTAAATGATTTAGTTAATATAATTATAACTTTATGGACTTGCCCTTAGAGTATAGCCCAGATCATTCAACACCTTTTCTAAACGCCTCTTAGGAACATTCCCGATGGATTTAAATTATTTTTAAGGCTGTTTGGGAGTAGCTGGGAGATTTGGGATATAAAAATTAATATTTGATTCTCTTGTGGTCATGTGCTCTCAGTCTCCTGTATGTTTCAGGATATTATGTAAATGTAGGGACCTATTTCCATACTACATGTGATAGGAGAGCTAGGACAAACATAGTGAGTGTAAAGAACTGGAAGTGTAACAGTTTCTTGAAAATACATTTATTTTTCACTTTTAATACATTTCTCCTCAGTTCCCAGCCTCTAAGAGCACTTCAGTGTCTAGGCCTCTTCCTGAAAGTTAACACACAACAAGACCAATCTTTTTTTGTATTAAAGCAGGAAGAAGATAAGTGTGTATTCTTACGTCGTTTCTGTGAGACAGCCTGAAGGCAGGCGGTGATAATGTCGTAGTTTTTCTGCACTTTGTGGTTCAGTCGGTCCCGTCTCCTCAGCTGGCGGAGCAGTTTGGCCGACTGCAGGCCCGTACGATATTTCACCTCCTGGATGATTGAATGCAGCTCCTCCAGGGCTGAAAACACAAACACAGAAATCGCAGGTTTAATCCTGGTAGACATTGCAATGACGTGAATCATGTTGTCTGCATGTTGGGATGAAAATCAAATGTTAAATATCCTAAACTACTTCTAAAACTGATAATAAAACTCTTTCCCAACTGACAAATTCTACATGAACATGCTTCAAAAATTGGATGTCCGACCATTTAAGCGAATCATTGTTAAATATGACATTTACATTTATCTAAAATGTAAAGCCCCTTAATATAGTTTTAAAAACATGTGACGAGGATATCTCTTCCAATTGCCTGTTTTCTATGCTGCAGGCAAAGATTAAATAAAAACCAGAACACTGCCACGAACACTGCCATGAACACAGACCAATAATGGAGACTAAATGTTTTAAGATCAATCAAATCTGAATTTCAACTAAACGGGGCACAAACAGATCCGTGATGAAGAACACTTCGTCATTGATTTTGTTATTATGTTCACGTTTGAAAAATAAAAAAGGGATCACTATGCAGTATGGGCTTATCAAATGATGCAGTCTGAGCTTATCAAAAAACTGTTTATCTCTGTTTATATTTGATCTTTTTAAATGCAATCTAATCTGCTTTAGCACTCCGATTGCATGGGCATTCTTTCACAATGTTTGCATTCTAAAGACAAGGACATTAATAAAAACAAACAACAGAATCATAAGTAATGATATATCCAAAACTGATAATCTTGTCATCAACATTTCAAAAATATTTTGTAGCTGAACCTTTCATATTATCCCTGTTTCTCCAGGAGGTCAAAGGTCATGATCACGTGCAGACACTGCCCAGGAGGTGGCAGGGTCTCCTTTAAAGGACACTAAAAAGAGCGCTTAGAATTGTGCGTACTTATTTAACCACACTAATGAGCAGCCTCCACCTTTAAACGTTTACTAAAGAGGATTTTATCGTAATCACAAGTTCACATTGTTATTGGAAGCACTATCAGAGGGTTTCCTCTTCCTGATGGCAGCATTGTTTCACTCGACCGAGCCTCACATGTGTGTGTGTGGAGGGCAAACACTGGGCTCAGAGGCCTGTCTGTGTTTACTGTAGGATTCTACTTTAACAGAGGAAACAATGGCAGCGTAGACCTCCCTGCAACACGCCTTTCACGACTGAGGAAACAGTGTTTATCAGCACACATTGAGGCCATTCAAACGAGCTGTCAACACACTCATCAGCTATGTGTTGGAGTGTGTTTGTCTAAAGGTCTGCATACCTGTAAACAGTGAGGCCTTATCATATCATGATAAACCTTCTTTTTTTTTTTTTATAAAGAAACTCATATTTTTCATTTTTAAAGATCTCTTACTTTGTTTATGTATGCACCAATGCCCCAAAACATATCCCTTGTATTTGCAAAACTCCTTGGCAACAAACAAAATCCTCAATCTGATTACAGTCACATTTAATTGAATTATACATTCAATTATGGTACACTGGAGCCTTGTTTTATTAAATGTGTCTCCTACTGTTTGCTGTCTGTCTCCAAAAAGGACTTGAAGGTAAAGAAAACCCCTCCTGTGATTTACAACTAGCTCACATAGATGGATAATTAATCACTTTAGTCATGGCTACAACAAGACTATACACAATTGATTTATTATCATTTGTAGGGACGCAACAGGCCATACACCGAGAGTACTAAGCAGATCAAATGACCAATACATTTTATTTTTCAATGGAAGTTCTCTGTATCAGGTGCTTTTATGCTGGGGAATTTACATGACATTTACACTATATACAATTTTACAGATATATTGCTTTTTTATTTAACCCTTTAACTGCCAGCACCACCATTTGGTAGAGCACATTTTGTGTCTTGATATCTTGTTGAAAAAAAAAAAAAAAAGTTTAACTGATTCAGCCAGCTCTACCCTTTGGTTGACATACTATGCACAAAACAACCTCTAGATGTCACTGTGGTTCGAACAGAAAGCCCTTCAGCTA